ATCTTTTAAACAAATAAATTCGTTGAACTTTCGAAAAATCTGAAAATAGTTAACTTTACTCTGTTGTTTTTGGTAATGGATTTCTTCGTTAATTTAACGGAGATACGCAATCCGTTATGCTTTCGAATGGATTGTCTTTAGAGTGTAGGCGTTAATGATACTTGATTTAACAAAAATGCTTGGGTTCAGCATGCTTTTGTTAACATGTTAATGGTTTGGAATTCTAGAATGCTTTTGTTACTTAAGTATTTTTTTTTTATTTTTATTTTTATTTTTACTGCACCAAACGATATTTTTACTGCATCAAACGATATTTGCGTGATTAAGATAACAATGTACAATAAAATTTTTTTAAACAAATTGGATTTAAAAAAGGTTTTGCTATACAAAGTAGGCCAATGTTGTTTGAGATTTTATTTTCGAGACAATGTATTTAATCTCTTCATGTAACGTTTTCGTCAAAAATTACCCCGAGAATTTTTAATGTGTTTTCTCTTTTTATGTCTTGATTCCAATACAAGTTTTCAAAGTTCATCATGAAAACAATGGAAAAAAATATATTTTGTTTTAGTTACATTTAGTGATAAATTATTTGCATCAAACCATTCAGTATACTTAATAGTTTAATGCAAACAAGTTATCATTACAAAAATCTATTTTATGCGTATAATGATAAATACATTATGTGTAAGTCAGTAAACAAAGAACTAGAGCATCCGTGCGCGCAGTAGAGAGCAGCCATGGCGCAGTAGTAACGTACTTGCCTCAAAAACGAAGGATTCATGGTTCAAACCCCACCTCTGGGCAAGTTTTGCGACATCGGTTAGAAAGGAGGCGTGACCTTCCTATTTAATGCTCATCCGCGCTGCTCTGTGATAAGACCTAATAAAAATTAAAAAAAACAAACTATTAAATCTCATAAAGTTCATTAGCTCGTATACAAACTATAACAAAATATTTATACCAATATGTGCATAAAATAAATTTGTGTCATCTGCAAATAAAATTGTATCTAGTTCTGTACAAGCTTTGTCTAAGTTATTATTATAAATGAGAAATTGGAGTGGTCTCAATACACATCTCTAAGGAAATCCATGTTATGTTCATATTGTTCGTTTTACCATCATTGTAAAAAATGCATTGCTTTCTTTTTGACGATTAATTTTTAAAATACACAATACTTAGATGTTTAATACAATAGTTTTTGTTTAACACTAAGTCAAAATTGGGCCTGTGCTAACAAACATTTGGTAAAACGTTAGACGTCCGTAAGACGTCTCCCGGACGACACATGCCCACTGGGCTATAATCTTGTCATTTTTGCATTTCAGTAATTGGCTACTATTCATATAATTGATTGTTTAAAAAACCTAGTTTTATATAAGGTACACGAAGTCATATAATGGCAATATCCCGGGATATATTAGCAATATCCCGGGATGTATTATAGCAATATATATAGCATATATAATATATATAATTTATAGCAATACATATAATATATAGCAATACATATAATATATAGCAATATCCCGGGATAAATTAGCAATATTCCGGGATAAGTTAGCAATATCCCGGGATATATTAGCAATATCCCGGGATATATTAACAATATCATGGGATATTTTACAATATCCCGGGATATATTAGTAATATCCCAGGATATATATTAACAATATACCGGATATAGTAACAATGTTCCAGGATATATTAGCAATATACAGGAATATATTAAATATATTTTGACATATATTAACAATACCCCTGGATATCACGCTGTTTTTTTTAACCACAACGGTATCGGAATCCTTAGCAATCTTAGCGTATCTAAGTCCTTAGCAATCTTAGTGTATCTAAATCCTTAGGAACTAGTGTAAAATTCAAAAAATTCTGTCAAAACTATATTCATCAGATTTTTGTTTTAAAATACTAAAACCAGCGGATCTTAGTCCCTTAGATTCCTCTTCATTTCGATTAAAATTTTATAAGTAATCTATTTCTTTTAATCTGTATATATACTAAATTTTTAATCTGTATATAATTAACCTGAATATATATTTCAGCAATTAACCAGTATTATATATTGCAGCAACCTGTATATATATATATCTATATATATATATATATATATATATATATATATCTATATATATATATATATCTATATATATATATATATATATATATATATATATATATATATATATATATATATATATATATATATAATATATATATATATATATATACATATATATATACTCATATAGTGTCGCTTTAAGAGCATTTTAATGTAAAAAAAGTCTCTTACGACTACAATTTTAATTACCTCGTCTCTTAAGCTGTTTTTGATTGTCATCGAAATGTCAAAGCAATTAATTTATGCGGAAGTACATTAAATTTAATTGTTTTTTAAAAAATTTTTAAAAAACCGCAATTATAACGACTAGAAAGTTTTTTTTAATTAGTGGTGTTTTTGTTATTGATTTAATAAAAAACATTTTTTAAACATGCGTAAATGTTGCTACATCGACTATCTTATAGCCTGACTCACAACGGAGTGCTGCTACATCGACTGACAAATAGCCTGACTCGCAACAGAGTGCTGCTACATCGACTGACAAATAGCCTGACTCGCAACGGAGTGCTGCTACATCGACTGACAAATAGCCTGACTCGCAAGGGAATGCTGCTACATCGACTGACAAATAGCCTGACTCACAAGGGAGTGCTGCTACAACGACTGACAAATAGCCTGACTCGCAAGAGAGTGCTGCTACATCGACTGAGGGTTTGGTTTGGCCAGGCAGTCTATCAATTAAAAAAAAAAATTTAATATTTAAAACTTTTTCTGGTCTGGTTTATTAAAGCGCTCTTTAAAACTACAGTTTATGGGAAATATTTTTTGATGCTACGCAAGAGACATGCAAGACTATATATATATATATATATATATATATATATATATATATATATATATATATATATATATATATATATATATATATATATATATATATATATATATATATATATATATATATATAAGCAGCAATTAATTTGTAGATATATTGCAGCAATTAGGCTTTACTTTGAGAATATGTATTTTACAATATATATTTATTTCATGTTTGTTATAATACAATTGTTTCGAATGTGTTTAAGTTAAAAATGAAAATTATGTTTGAATATTACTAAGATACAAATATCAAAGCGTCAGATTATAAAAATAGCAAGTAATTAATAACTGAAGTCAAAAAAACAGAAACATCTTTTTTTTTATCAATTAAAATTGAGTTTATTCCTTTACATTATTTAATTTCAACTTAAATTTAATTTTTATATTGATATTTTAACAATCGCTCTTAGTTTTTGTTATTTTAACTTATGCCGTTCTTTGCTTGCTATTTTTACGGAAATTAAAAGTATTTATCATATATGAATCTTCCTTATTGCTAATTTAACTGCTTGCCGTTTTAAATTAGTATTATATCATTATATTGTTAAGTGATTTCTAAATTGTTTAAACATGACTTCCTTTTTTGTTACTTTGCTGAAAAGCTTTTGCTTTCTTTTTGTTAGCCTCCCACATCTTTTTTATGTCTTCGACGATTGATAATATGCGATCTTTATAAAATTTTGTAATTTCTTTTCGGATCTTTGAAACATATTTTTGACGAACTTTTTGACATGTTTTTGCTAATAAACTTTTTACCTGCTCTTTGTTTATTTTATTGCTAGTTGACATAATTCGGCTGCAAATCTCTTTTCCAGTAACGTTATCAATGACTTTAACTCGATATTTTTGAACAAATTTTTCCTTTATACCACCTATACCTGCTCCAGTGTCAACATCTCTTTTCATTCGAGTTTCGCACGTTTCTTCAAAATCTATCCATAATACTTGACGTATTTGACATATTTCTGTTTGTGAAACAGCCTGCTCACGTGCGTCTATCGTATTTTGTGTAACTTCCTTAAAGTTAAAAATATTTTCTGCTATGTCAATAATAGATCTATCTGCTTTAAATGTTATGTTAGGGCTTACATTTACTTTAATAGAAAGTTGTCTTGTCATTTGAAGAATGAGAAGGGACATAACGTTGTATGCAAGACCGATCTGTAACATTTTTGCTTGTGCCTCCACTGAACCTCGTGGAAAACCAAAGTCTGGGAAACCTTTATCAATGAAGTCGTTTAATGTTGAGTAACATTTTACTCTGTCTTTTTGTTGCTTTGACTTCATATGTTTTTTATTCTTCTGTACTTTAGGGAGCAAGTCGCATTCCAACATTCGACGGTAAATCATTTTTATATCGCTTTGCATGTCAAAAAGTTCGCGTTCATTAAAATACAAATTGAGTGTTCCTTCTGTTTCTTTTATAGCCTTCGGCCAAATTGATTGATTTTCTTCACTTGTAAAGTAATGATCTTCCAAAATTTGCTTCAGCTGGTTAATATTTATGTCAAAAGCAAGAATAGCTTTTGCAGACTTATTTAAAATATCTACGTATGTGACTTCTTTACTTACACTTCTTTTAACAGTTTTAATACTAAGATCTCCGCTTCCATTTCCAGATTCATCTGTTTCCTCGGACTCATTTTTAGTGTTCATATAGTTTTCACTGAAGCAAAGTTGAATGAAAAAAACAATTACTAATAAGATTTCAATCTTTTCCATCGTTACAGGCGTTCTAAATGTTGCTAAGTGTTAAACGTTTCTCAGGTTTACTCTTCTCGACATAATTAAAAAAAAAATAAAAATAGTAATACAGAAGCGACATCATTGGTTTACACAAAGTAGACGTATGTTTTATTGGTTAGTTGACGTTTTGAGCATAATTGAAATTAGATAACCGTTTAGTCAAATCTGAAATTTAGTCATGCATATCTGTCAAAAATGAAGTTGGGGGTTATAAAAAACAGTTTTTCAAAAAAAAGAAAAAAAAAAATTGTCAGTATTTCTTATTTTATTTGAAAAAAACTTTAAACGTTGTCAAAGCAAATATGACGTTTTTAAACTCAGTCAAATTAGACATCTTTTTCCTGACATTTCTTCAAATTTTATAAATAAAACAAATAGTTTATACGAGAATTAAATGTTACAGGGTTTTAACACGTACCCCCGCTGTGTATTAATTGCTTGAGTTTTTTTAAGAGTAAAAATTTTGTTCAATAATGCGTGCAAGTTATTATTTTGACGATTACATGTTTACAATCATGCAGAAATATTTTTTTGCATCCTCTTATCTCAAAATGTAGCTCAAGGTTTCCTCTTCTGCTATAACAGAAAACAAATGTGAAGTTTTCTGTTAGTTTTTATTAAGTATTAGTTACATCAAGTAAATTCTTCTACACTCGGTAAACACTTCAACGTCCGGTAAATATGAACCTGCATGCATAAATTTAATTGTTATGGAATACTACTGTTACTATTTTATTCATTGTATATTATTCTTATTTTTTATTTTATTTAACTTTTTTTTTTCTTGTGCTTTATTTTTTTAAATAATTCATAAAAACTTTATCTTTTTTTAAATTGTATTTTTTTTATTTATTAACGAAGCTGCATGGATTAATGACCGAAATGCATGGAAGAAAAAAATGACCATCTGCTATATATACAATTAATGTAAAAATTTTAACAATAATATACAATTTAATAAAATAAAATTTATACTGTAAAATGTAACCATCCACTAACTACGCACTGTTATATATATATATATATATATATATATATATATATATATATATATATATATATATATATATATATATATATATATATATATATATATATATATATATATATATATATATATATATATATATATATTATTAAATTTTTTACTTTTAATTTTAAATTTTTTTTTTGAAATTTTAATTGGGGTTTTTACCAGTGGTAAAACTTGATCTAAAAACGCTAAATACCAAAAAATTTTAATTTAAAACGATTTTTAAATCCCCTACAAGACCCTTAAACATCAGACAGTTCCTTAATATTTGAAAAAAAAAGTTCTTTAAAAAGCAATTCATGTTGGATCTCAAAAGAAGCGAAATTTTATAAAAGTTTCAAAAATAACAAAAAAAATTTATGAAAACATAAATTAAAAAAAATTTATTTAAAAAAAACAATAAAAATTAGTACTTTTTTATTTTTTGTTAAAAAACGATAGTTTTTAAGCCATAAAATTAAAACTAGTAATCTTTATATAAGAATTTTAAGATTTTTATAAAATTTTGCTTCTTTTGAGACCCAACATGATATGTTTTTAAAGAACTTCTTTTTCAAAATATTAGGGACCCGTCTGATGTTTAAGGGTCTTGTTGGGGGTCTAAAAATCGTTCTAAATTCAAAATTTTTAGTATTTAACGTTTTTAGATCAAGTGTTATCAATAGTATAAAGTTTCAAAACAAAGTTTAAAATGGACCACCCTAACCACCACAAAATCCCTCCCTCCGTAGAATCACCTCTAAATCGATAACAAAACATTATATATATATACATATATATATATATATATATATATATATATATATATATATATATATATATATATATATATATATATATATATATATATATATATATATATATATATATATATATATATATACAGTGACTCACACTGAAAATGATGCAGCATAGTAAAGCATAAATTTTCGTGATTCAACATCACTTTAACATAACTTTTGAAAATATTATTCTATGTAAAATATACATTGTAGCATAATCTTTATATTAAACATTTGTTTTATGTTGATTTAAATTAGTTTCTAAGCTATAATACAAAACATATTGTTTATCATAAAAAAACATGTCACAGTAAAAATGAGGCAACTATATTTTTTACCATATCTCCCAAAAGTTGGAAGTAACTAACCGCAACTACATTCTTTTGTTTTAGTTTTTTAACATCTGTCAAATTGTTATTAATGTTATTAACTATAAATCTGCTTGTTAGTTAGTTCGTGTGTGCTTTAAAATAAAAAAATTAAAATGGGGAGACACACAGCTCTCGAAGAAAGGCAGTTAATCCTATTTCATTTCCAAGATAAAAAAAGGTCAACAAGAATTTGCAAAAATTTTTACTAAAAGTCTACAGTGCAGCATATTGTAGAACGTTATCAAAATGAAAATAGAATAAAAAATAAACTGAAAATAGAATAAAAAATAAACTGAAAATAAGTCCCAAAGAAGTTTTACAATAAGAGAAGTATGTTGGATTGTCCGAACTTCGCAAGATAATCTACGTTTAAGTGCACCAAAGCTTGCCATTGAGGTAAAAAACAAAAAATGTGAATCCAGAAACAATCTGTAGATTTAAAAAAAACAACAACTAACATGGTAGAATGGCCACAAGGAAATCATTCATAAACAATTTAAAAAATCAACTCAAGTTTCCCGATGATAACAAACAAAGTTATTTTAACTTCTGGAAGAATGTTTTATTCACTGATGAAAGTAAATTTAACATCTTTGGTTCAGGTGGTCGAGTAAATGTATGGTAAAGAGTGAATAAAGAGATGAAACCTAAACATTTAAGACCAACCGTAAAACATAGTGGTCGTCCTTTAATGGTTTGGGTTGTTGCTCAGCTAATGGGGCGGGTAATTTACATTTTATCAAGGGCAACATGGATAAAATTATGTACTTAAACATTTTAAAAAGAAAATTAACAACCAGTGCCGAAAAATAAGACATAAAAGGTAATTTTGTGTTTTACCAGGATATTGATCCCAAACATACACCACACATAGCGCGAGAGTGCTTATTGTACAATTGTCCTAAAGTAATGAAAACTCCGCCATAGTCTCCTAATATTATTAAAAATTTATGGCATAAACTAAACTTTGCTTTTTGCTTAACTCAGCTTGGTAAACTTTAGGCGATATATTTTCAAACATTTTTAAAAAAGCATTTTTTGCAACCAATTTTTAGCCGATTAAATTTTTTTGTAATAGCCAGCAAATTTATTAAATCCGGAGCTCTTTAAAATTTTGTAAAAACTGTTCAACTAGCCCCGTTCTATTTACGTCTGCCTTACCCAACCTAACGTACCCAACCTAAAATTTAAAAACATTCAATGACTAGAAAAGATTGTCTATAAATTAAAAAAAAGAATTACCTAAAAATTGACGAAACAAATAACTTGTCCTTGTAAGCACCTGGATGGTCAGGAATAAAGCAATAGCCGTAGTCCAGACCAACAAGTCAATGTCTTTAACCTCTACGCCGTGGATGGCCTTGAAATGCAACTAACTTAAAAAGCAAGCAACTACCTAACAACTACCTACATTTTTCTACCTAACAACTACCTAAATTAAAAAAAGGTTATTTATCTCAACTTCACCAGCACAATAATAATATCATAAATAATAAAAGATTTAAACCAAACAAAAAATATCAAATTAAAAAAGGAACTAAGTAAAGTTAAAACTTTATGAAAAATTTTAACAAATTCATTTTAAAATATAATTTAAAACACAGCAATAAATAACACCTTATGTTAAGAAAAAAACAGCAACTCGTTTTTAAATACAAATTCAGTGTGAAGTTCAATTTATCTAATTATTTAATCAGTAGAACAAAATATTACATGAAGTAATCTTAAGGTATAAGTACATAAAGTTTACATTCATTAATCATTATAAAAGTTTATTTATCCTAATATTGAATAGTTTTATTAAATAAATTTCATAAACAATAATACTACACTTAAGTAAATTGGCGCAAAGGCTTCATACAGCTATCTTATTATTACTACTATTATTATTTCGCAATACAAAGTGTAGAATAATATTTATGAAAAACTATTGTTTGCTAAAAAAATGAACCCATAACACTCTTTAACCGAAGATAGTTTTGTTTATTCGGGTATTCTGCAAAATAACCAGTTCTAAGGTGTTACTTTATTTATTTCCTTGCTGAAATAACAATTTAACTATAATGGTAACCAATCCCAACTTCATATAAGATTAACCAATCCCAGCTCCATGACTTAATAAAGATAAGTCAAGCATGTAAATTTTAAAATTACCAACTTTTGAGCTGAAAATATCATTTGTGTATAATTCTTCTATTTGTTTAGTATGGTAGTATTGTGATTATTGGAGCCTTAACGCTATTTTTAATATTAATTTCTGTACATAAATTGTTCCGTGAAATATCTGAAAATTGGAACAATATTGGAAAAATACATAATTTTTCTAATATTGTGATATAATTACACCTTAAGCAAAACTCCGCTTTATCGCAAAAAATCTACAATTCATTAACATTTAAATGGTTAATTTGCTGACCAAAGTTATTGGGACGTTGATTCAATTATTGGCACTTGCAATTCAATTTTTTGCATCAATTTTAATTCAGATATAAACCTAAGGCATCAAATTTTTTGCCATATCTTAATTTTACTCTTTTTTTTTGTACAATAACTAGAAAAATATAAGCCATATTATTATAGTTTAGAGGTGTTTCTGGTAGAAGCACCAGCAAGTCATTTTTAGGCTCTGGTCCATAAAAAGGCCTCCATAAACAAAAATAGCCCCGTGCCCCATGAAGTCTCAATCCGCCACTGCCAAAATGAAATATTTATATATTACAAAATATATATCTCTTTTTATATTTGAATACCAAGTTAAAAGGAATTTTTTGACCAAACTTCAGCTTTATTTAACACCTCTCACGTGTCTCTTCTATGTATTATCTAGGCGTAGGCCTAGGACTAAAAAAAGGGTTGTTCGTACCAGATAACCTTGTTTGCAAATTGCTGCCCAGGATGTTATATTGTTTTGTAGCTGCTTCGATAAATATTGCAATTTTTTTAACTGATTCAGGAGCTCTTTTCATGTTACTAATAGCATACTGCATTCTTTTTGTAATTTGTTATTGTTATAACTGGACTTTTTTTTACTTCTGTTATTAAGACTTTAAAATACAATTATAAAAATCAAAGTAGTTCATAAACTTTAACTTAAAAATATTTAAAACAAATATTAAAAAACAACCGATAAAAAAGAAGTTGTTAAAGTATTTATGATTTTTTACATCTTATTAAACAATATGTAAAAAGTATTGCCATGGTAATTATCAAGTTTTTGTCACATTTATTGCCACCCTATCGTAAAAAAGATCAATAAATAATAATAAATAATCATAAGATTTTTATATTCCAGTACAAAAATTATTTTATCAGCTTTAATATTTCAAGTTAGGGATCGTCCATAAATTACGCAACGGAAAAAATATTTTAAAAACAGGAGTAGGAGATATTAGGCTCTTTTACGCGGCGATTTTCATTTTTTTTTTATTGTTTATTTAAATTAAGACTATGCGAGGGAAAACTTTTGATCTTTTTTTGTTTAGTTATTTGTGAAATTTTGTTTTACGTAATTTATGGACGATCTCTTACCCATAGTGTCATTTTAGTCTTCAAATGTTAAATAATAAAACTAAAATTAATAAAACTAAAAAATTAAAATAACTCTCAATACTGCTATGGGAAATAATGCCGCAACTTGGTCAAAATTTGCCCCAAATTATTTGGCGCAAATTTCGCCAAATTATTTGGTTTTTTCTTGTATTAAATTTTTTAAGAAAGACTTGAAAATCTATAATTGATAATTTTTTCAAATGCTAGATAATGAATGTATCTTTTTATCTCATAAAGTTTTTTTCACTTATTTGTTGAAAATAAATAAGAAATTTGTGATAAAAAAAAAGAAGATATTTGAGTCATGCCAATAACTGCGACATAATGTCGCATAATGTCGACATAATGTAATTATAATATAGTTATACTAAGGTAGACCTTAGTATAATTTAGGATAATCAGTTTTGATTAATTTGCAATATCGGAGTAGAAACAAACCATCAAAAAGTTTCACCAGAGCTTGACGTTTCCCCCCTCTGTTTTCGAAATGATAATTTGTTTAAAAAGTTTGAGCGCGTGTGTATGTAAGTTTCAAAAAATTCTTTTTTTTGTAAAATATTCTTTCACTCTATGATTGCTCTAAAATCAAAGTTTTTATAAATAATTGTGCAAAAAACATTTTAAAAAACGATAAACTGTTAATCTCGATTATCTCGATTTCGCTCTTAAATTTAGCTCTTGCTGAGTTTTTTTCTAAAACCTAAATGAAAAGCTTGTGCGATTAATATGCCTCAGTGAGTTTGAAAACATCATACAGTGATTTGTAGAAGTTTTCATATTTAAATTCATTTTTTAAAAAAAAGAAAGAAAAAAAAGTAAACTTTGCAGAAGATTTGCTGAAATGAAATACACATTAACAACTTTATGTTGTGCAATTTTGATGACGTGTTACAGCAGTAGTGAAAGTAAAGACATTACGAATGTTGGCATAAAATTAAAAAAAAGTAAATCGAATTTTAAAAGAAATTTTGAGCTAAACTTTTTTTCCAAAAGCAGTCCAAACAAGTTTTTTCCAGTCCAAACAAGTTCTTTCAAAAAATACGACAATTACACAAGCAACAATACAATTAGTTCTAATCCTGTTATTCTGAGCTACAACGATTGGGCATCATACCGCGCATGGGATAAGAAATTGGCAGCTATGAGATCAGAAAACTCAATTTCTTATCCTGAGATTCTAAACAAATCATTAGTAGCAGTTTTAGGAATAAAAAAATCAAAAGAAATTAAAAAATTACTACTGAAGTATTACTTTACTGAAGATGAGAACAAATCAATATGGCCAAAAGCTATTCGAGAAACGGAATTACACTTAAACCTTAAGTTTTCTAGAGATGAACTTTTCAATATGGAAAAAGATGTGAAGGCAGTATATAGAAGAATGTTAGAATGTGATTTTTTGTTCAGCCCTTTTACTAAACAAAAAAAACCGTCAAAAAAAAAGAATCACGAAAGACGAAAACTTAAAACAAAATGTTATTTAACTTTGCATGAGTACATCAACAGCGGTTTTACAGATTTTGAGTTCCCTAGGGGTTCGGTAGAAGGAGAAGCTAAAATGCTGCAAATGGCATTAGCATATCACATGATGTCTTTGCTTGTCCTTCAAATGACTCAGCAGATGGCAATTATTGCTCACGTAACACCAATTAAAGCAGCAATATCTATAATTGATATCGCAGATAATTTAGTTGAATCAATCAAATCATTCACAAAAAATACTATTGACGGAAGAATTCAAGCAATTTCTCAAATTGAAATATGTCAGATGGAAGTATTGTTCTGGAAAGAGTTTCCTGTAACTTGCGAAATAAGGATTAAGCGAGATATAAACTCTGTAGATGGAATCGGGGGTAACAAAGATTTCTTAATAAAAAGATACCGAGCTAAAGTCATTGATAATGTCACAGACAAGGAAGTATGTAATATGGCCTTGGATACAAGCGAGACAAAAGATAAAGATCAAGTAATATTTGAGCTAACAAAAGCTTGCGGGCTAATACGTGATAACTACGCTCGTCGAATTAAAAAGGATATTACTGATTTTTACACTCAACGTACATTACCTGTTGTAAAAGAACTGTCTAAATTGTGGTATAACGATAAGAAAAAACTGGCCGAAATTAAGGATAAATTACAAAACAAATATCAATCAAGTAATCAAACAAAGTGAAAACTTTCATTAATTTCTTTTTATAATGTATTTTTACAAAATTTTAACAAATAATAGCTGTTTATTAAACTAGTTTTATGTTTAAACATGTTTAAACATTAGTTTAAAAGAATATTGTTTAAACATGTTTAAACATTAGTTTTAAAAAATACGAACTTATTTGTATAAAAGAAATGAAAGAGACACGTATGCATAAAAATACGGATAACATAAAAAAAATGTTTCTTAAAACTTTTTTGTATTTAAAGGCTTAAAGGTTTTTGCATAGAATTGATTTTCACAAACTTTTAAAAATCATAACGACATTAAAAAAGGTTATCGCTATGTTAGTATTTTTAACAATACCTTCATAAAAATTAAAAAAAAAAGTAGCAAAATATATCTTTTTAAATTTTAACTTAGTTGCGCTACCAAAGCAAGAAAGTATTTTTACCTCAGTTAAACATTTTTGCCTCAGTTAAACATTTTTGCCTCAGTTAAATATATTCCTCCATGCTGATAATAGGTAACAACTTCTTTTTTACTTTTTTTTCTTTTTTAGCACCACTAACCTTAACCTACTTGTCAAATTCCGGAATTATTAGCAAGAGTGTCATAGATTTCTTACCTTCTCTTTGTCAGAAAGTTTATTAAACATTTAAAAAATATATCTTTATATAGAAACATTTGCCGCCACAGTCTTCAATTTATAGTTTTAAAATAACTTTAAAAAATTGGTTAGTAAGTTGTGATGAAAACACTAGCTGTCAGCGATAGTTAATGCGTAGTCTAACTTTATGTAATTCGTGCAACAAATGCAATACATGCTATACATGCAATCTTCACGCAATACGCTTGTATCTAACAATGTGTGGTTGTTGTTATTCGTTAGTTTACTAGAGGTAATAAATAGATCAACCTGAAAGCAAAGCGAGGAATTGTTAGAAATATAAGGAATTTGTCTCCAGGCTTATTTTCTGAATAAAGATGTGTTTAGCCATAAAACCTTGTGATTTAAAAAAACAATATTATTTTCTAAATAACAATATAATATTACTAATATTAGACAAAATAAAATTTTCCAAACAAAAAGTAACATTTTTTGTTTAGAAACTTTTATTTGGTCTAATATTTGGTTAACACAAGTCTCAAAGAACTTTTTTCGCTCAAATGTGCAAAACTTGTCGTGATAAATCATATTTTTTTCAAGCATACAGACCCCTCAGGCAACCAAATGCTGCAGGTAAGTCGAGGACATGAAATCTAAAGAAGATCTCAGTATTTTTTTAATACTTTCTTTAGCATCATTATTACCAAAAAAATTTGCGTGATCTCTGAAATATCGTAACTTTGTAGAAGAACTCATTGAGTTTCAGATTTCCTAGTTTATTTATGTTGCTAGCAAAAAAGAAAACAGAAAAACCGATAAATAATTTTATTTTAGAAAATGTAACCGATAAATAAAAAGCCATAATATAACATCTGCTCAAATAAATAATAAATTATAATCCATGTAGCGGTAAATTAAAATTTTATTGAATAAATTGTAAAACGTTGTGTTATTGCCACATTAAGACCTCGACAACGTTCGGGAATTTTTATTCTATACTGCTTTTTCTTTTTTCTTTTTTTTAAAAAGACAAATTAGTGAGACAAAAAGTTGCATAGCTGTTGAAATATTGAATATCCATTAAGAATCAAAGACTTGAAAAACCTCTTTATTCATTATCATATGTCAAACTTGAAGTTTTTAATATAAAAGTAATATTAAATAACAATAAAAAAGTGCAACAATAAATAATCAGATTATCTTTTTACTAAATATGATAATGTTTAAATTAGCTCAAAGTCTTTGAGTTTAGTTATTTAATATTTTTGGGAGATATTTTGAAGATAATGTTTTTTGGAGAAAAATTGGAGATAATGCTAAGTTCTATATAAAAATGTTTGACAGTCTTTGACCTTATTTCTTTAAAATGGAATTCATGTACACATCTGCAATAACTGTGAACTGTCAAACCAAAAATGTTTTGCAAACTCTTAAAAAAGTGTCGCGAAACAAGGCCTGATTAGAATCTCAAGTAAAATAGTCAGTTTTTTCCTATATAAATTATTCAAATAAATATTTTTTTATAATATGCAGTTGTATTATCTCGAATTTCTTCATTCAAACGGATTTCCATCAGTTCAACTTATTTTTTGCTGTTTTATTGTTTAAAGATATTTTAGTTTCAGTCTCATTAATTGTCTCATTTATTTTTTAAGAACTCACATAAATTTACTAAAACTCTTCATTTTGCAATCTAATTTAGTTCATTATGAATAAACTGTAGTCAGGGCCGACGACATGGGTTTCGAAGTGGAGGGGCACCACCGTATTCTTATATTTAAACAAACAAACAAAAAAAAGGTCCTTTAAAAAAAGTGTGTATGGGGGGGGGGGGGGGGAATACGTGCTCTCCTGGCCCCCCAGTGTCGTCGGACCTGGCAGTTAAACTTGTTTTTATGTTAATTACATTTTTATGCACTGCAAAAGATAGACATAGAAAGCATAGGAATCATTTTGACAAATAAATGTTTTCCGTCTTTTAAATTTAGACAAAAAGCTTTGCTTACTTTATTTTAATTGATAATACTTGCAATTACTTTTACATTGAACTTTTTGTGATTTCTACAATTACATTTTGTGTTGATTTCAATTTGTATTGTTAGTAAATAAATTGCTAAGTTCTTTAATTAATTAAAGTTTATACATTTAGAGTTAAACGCGTTATTTTATTATTAAATAAAAAAAGTATTGATAAATTTTAAATTCACAACAAACTTTGCGAAGAATCCATGACAACCCAAATGAATACTAGGATCTAGAAGTTTGATTTTGGTGACATTTCATGTTTAACACTCTTAAGGAAAAATATTTTATGTAAAAAACAGAATATTTTTTTTGAAAAATTATTATTTTTGAGAATTTTTTACTACTTCTTATTTATAATTTTTTTACATTAATTTTAGTAACAAAAAATTATGTTAAGTAAAATAATTTTGTCCCTGTTGCTTGTTGTTGCTACATCAGCAAAGAAATGCTCCAAGTCTTGCGAAAAGATATCACCTTATCCTACAAATTTTTTTGAAGACATAGTTCCACATTTTGTAAATAATAGACCCACTGTAGGAGTTGTAGCAATGGAAATACTTGGTCAGAAAATGCTGGTAGAAGTTCCTTGGTCTGAGAACAAAGATTACTTTGGAAGCTCTTTTGTAAAACTTTTGGACGCGGCAGGAGCAAGGGCTGTACCAATTAAAGAGGTATAATTTTAGCATATATGTATATATATATATATATATATATATATATATATATATATATATATATATATATATATATATATATATATATATATATATATATAAAGATATATATATATATATATATATATATATATATATATATATATATATATATATATATATATAAACTATTTAACTTTAGTAGTATATTGAGGTGGTGGTTATTAGATCTTATTATTCTGAAATAGTAAATATTATTTTCTGACCTCACAACTAAAAATGTCACCACGGAAATTAGGTGGTGTGAAATTAATTAATTGGGGGAAAGTAAATCCAACTTAATAAAAACAAAAAGCAATAGTATTCTCATTGCTTAAAACTTTTTTAATACCTAATATAAGTAGTTATTTTAACTAAAGGTTGATGTAAAAGTTAGTTAATTTCGTTTCTCTAATATGTTTTTTATTTTTTAAATTCTTATAAATTAAAGACATTTAAGCTGTTCCTTTTTTTTTACATACTTCACCAGAGTATTAAGGATAATTTTTGTGAACTATTTTAAATATATATATATATATATATATTTAAAGCAATTCTTTTTGTTCTTTATCATTTTTTGCTTATCTAATTTTATTTATTTCCTTTTTTTTTGTATATTGGTTTAAAGAGCATCTCTGTAAAACAATTAATATTAAAAAAATTATTTATAAGGTCATTCTTCACTTTTTCACTACACGTTCTTTGAAGCAATTTTTTTGGTGTTCAGAGCAGGCAGGTGTGATCACCAAAAACAATTGCATCTAGATCTCTTAAAATACAACAATATGCAGACCAGTCAAACTTTGTTGTGAAAAAGTCGGTCCGTTCTTTTTGAAAAATTTTGTGGTTCAGTGATTAACGCTTCAAAAACTCTTGTTCTTAAAAGTTTTGGTCGTATATTGTACAGAGAATCGGGCAACCTTGAATAGATTAATATCACCGGTTTCAGAATATTAGTTAACAATATTTACACCAGATTTTTTTTACAAATATTTTGACATAGTACGTAGTGTATATAAGGCTGTGCACTTTGTCATTTAGAAGAAAATTAAGTTAATAAATGTGTTATCAAATTCAAAACTTTTTGGCGAATTGTTTTGTTTTTTGTTTTTGGCGAATGTATTGGCTATTCCAGATTAAATTGAGCGTTTGCATAGAGTCATTTTTGAAAACCTGTGGCAAAAGACCGATTTTAATCCGGTCAAAAGAGAAACACTTCTTGTGTTCACTTTTTATTTGTTTTACAACTTCAAAACATATTTTATTTTAAGTTTAGTTAATCACTAAGTTTAATATATTAATATTGGTTTATATGGAAAAAAATGTTGATAATTAATACTATTTTTTTCATACAAATATTACACTGTGTTGTATATAATTTGTTGTTAGTCTTAATAAAGTTTTATTTTGTGTATACCACGCCTATAAAAATGCTTATGTATTATTATACTCCAAGTTAATTTTAGTATTAAATTTTGCGATTAAATTTTGCTTTAATTCTCTTCTTCAACTTCATTTTTTTATCGCAAAGAGGAATTATAAAAATGCAAAAAAAAAAAAAAAAAAAATTAAACGAAAAAAAATAAATAAAATATATAAAAGAATAAAATTTGAAACTATATATTACATTATAAGAAAACTATTTAACTAAAAATAAAGAATTAAGAGTGACATGGAAAAAATGTTATAATAAATTTTATATTGAAATATATAAGGATATATATTATATATTTACAAAACAATTAGTAAAAGTTTTATTATAAACTGATAATGATAAATTATAAAAGAGTTTATTTTTTAATAATATATATAAAAAAAGTTTAAATTAATTGCTGATTGCGATCTGCAATTAAAGCCATTTTAAATTTATTTAAATTTTATTTATATAGCAAAAAAAAAAAAACATTTGGTAATATTATCAATTGACCCGGTTTCCGTTGTATTATTTTATTGCCAAATAACCATCGAGCTATCGACCAGTATCACTTACTTCAGTTATAAGTAAAGTAATGGAACCTATCTTAAAAGCTACGTTTATGTCGCACTTAGAAAATAACAATCTCTTGACTAAGAAACAGCATGGACTTTCTAAAAAAAAAACTGTTGTACAAACCTTATAGAATCTATGGATCTAATAACTCAAGCAATTGAAGATAATTTACCAGTAGATATTATTTTACTGGATATGAAAAAAGCTTTCGACTCCGTGCCTCACAACAGATTGTGTCTTAAACTAAAAAGTTATGGTTTTAACTATAAAGCAGTTAGATGGTGCAAAAATTTCGTATGTAACAGAGTGCAACGTGTTGTCTGCAACGGCGAATTTTCAAATTGGTCTCCAGTTACAAGTGGAGTACCGCAAGGGTCTGTCTTGGGTCCGTTTATGTTTATTGTTTATATAAACGACTTACCGAATGAGTTATCAACGAACTGTAAAATGTATGCTGATGATGTTAAACTAATTAACATAATTAGATCAACTTCTGATAAAGAAAAGACTCAAACAGATCTAGACAAATTAATGACATGGTCGCAATTATGGCTATTAAAATATAATGTCAGCAAATGTAAACGCATGCATATAGGTAGCAAAAATACTAAGCTCATATACACAATGTATGATTCAGTGTTAAATAGAGTTGAGCTACCAGAAACCAAAATTGAAAAATATTTAGGAGTTATGATTTCAAACAACTTAAAATGGTCGAGGCAAATTAATTATGTGTCGGGTAAAGCTAATAAAATGTTAGGAATAATAAAACATTTATTTAAAAACTTAGACATAAACGCATCTAAATTATTGTACACCTATTTTGTAAGACCGTATTTAGACTACGCAAATTCAGTGTGGTATTCTTACTTAGAACAAGATAAAAAAAAAAATTGAATCGATACAACGTAAAGCAACACGAATAAAATGTCTTCAAGGGAAAAACTATGAAAGTAGATAAACCTACTTTAAATTAACGACTCTTGAAAAAAGACGCGAACGTAATGACCTAATCCAACTTTACAAAATAGTAAAAAAATAGATAATTTAACATTGGAATACCCACCAAGTTTAATAGCTTCAAATACGAGGGGTCACAATATGAGATTTCATAGACAATTAACTAAAAATCCAAAGAGGTACTATTTCTTAACAAACCGTGTTATAAACAGCTGGAATGACTTAGATCAAAACATTCTAGATTCTAAAACACTTAAACATTTTAAATCAAAGTTGGACTTATTTTTAACATAAATCGGCTGTTAAAGCCTAGATCAACTCGGCTCCGTACATAGTCATTGTACATGTACGCAGTTATTAAATAAATAAATAAATATATTACGATAAATAGTTATTGAAAATTGTTGAATAGACACTAACAAGCAGGTGAGGTAGGATGACCAGCGGTAAGTTTCAAAGAGAGGTCTTTAAGTTCAACTTTTTTTTTAGATTCAAAAAACAAACGAGAAGTTTTTTTTATTAAGGATATTATCGCTCTATTGCAGCATAAAAGCAATGCATTTGTATTAATATTGATATTATATACAAAATTTAATGTATTTGCGTTCCTTTAAAAATTAATTAATTTTTAAATTTAATTTTAACTTAATTAACTAATTATAAATTTGAAAACAATTGTGTTTACTTAGTTTTATTGGAAACTAGTATCTTAATAAATAGTATAAATACATATATATGGTGTACAAAACGATACTGAAAAGTTCAAGTTTTTAGAACCATTGTTACACTCGTTAATTACAGAGCTAAATTTTCTGTTTTCTACATCAAAACTACTAAAATTTCTTTATTATCTACATCAAAACTACCAAAATTTCTGTGTTATCTACATCAAAACTACCAAATTTTCTGTGTTATCTACATCAAAACTACCGAAATTTCTCTGTTATCTACATCAAAACTACCAAAATTTCTCTGTCATCTACATCAAAACTACCACGTATAATGGATGCTTTAACTACTTCAGTTTCATCATTTACTTATGGACGAACCTTTCCAGAGAGTTAAAAAGTGTCTTGTGATTCAGTAATTTGTATCTGGATGCGAGCCAAGATAACAACACTGCGGGTTGAATTGTGTGCCAGAAAACTGTCAAGATTGCATTAGAAATATCTGGCTCAGAGCAAAAAAACAAAAAAGTGACAGGATAAAAGAAGATGTGTTTAAGACGTGTTTAAGACGTGTTTATGACGTTTTTAAAGGTTGTTTTATATTACGATACAGCAAGTGATGACAGAAATACAGAACGAAGAAAATCGTAAATTCTATCGCATGCAAATAGAAGTTAATTTTTTTTTTGTGCACCATAAGTAGATAAAATGACATTATCAAAAGAAAGCATGATGATGCAACTAAAAGAAAAAGTGAGAAAAGAGAAAATAAGATACAAAAAACACCTTTGCTTTCCATAGAGTGGAACTATGTTTGTTGCCGAAGCTATTGAACAAGCGCTTGGCGAAGACAGTCATGACATTATCTAGAAGTTCAATCAGAAATTATCTAGAAGTTCAACAGCTGCAATAGATAAAAAAATATTTTTGTTTCGTGGCACCACTAGTGCTAGGGGTACCATAACTTGCTTGATATTGATCTAAAGAAAATACAAATCATAGATTCATATTATATTTTCAATAATAATAATAGCATAGCTATTATTATTACTCAAAATGGTCAGAAAAAACTGTTAGGTATTTTAAAAAAAGACAGAGGAACAGGAGAAAATCAAGTAAAAGCTTGGATTGAAATAGTTGAGAAATAAGACATAATTTCACAGACAAAAGACCTTGTGTTCAACACAACAGCTAACAGTACAGGCCCGACGAACATTTGTTTTTAAAAGTTACGTTCTAAAGGTATTTTAAATGTCTTTTAAACGTTTTTTTGCGTAAGAATGTTTAGAAGACGTTTAAAAGACATTTAAAATACATTTAGAACGTAACTTTTAAAAACAAATGCCCGTCGGGGGGACTTA